AAAAATGACAATTTCAAGATTGTAGACTGAAATGTATATATTATATCTAATTAGGTCTGATGGTTACAAAAGTGTGATAATGAGGCCAAGATCACAAGTTTGAACCCCATAGGGACCAGTTACCTATTGCAGAAAAACGTCTATTCTCTTGCTACAAACCATACCCCAAACTATAGCTAGTCATCTCAAAAATGTGTGCTATTGGCACATGAGGGATATGGAAAATTAAAGTTGAGCTCAGCACCACTACTAGAAAAACAATTCCAAGCATATTCTGTCAAAGTGCCTGAATAATAATTGCCATGTACAAATGTTAGCAAATGTCTAAAGAAAGCCGTCTAATTGCTAGTGACCAAAATAATGATGCTGATATAGTCACAGCACATCAAATTATATGAGGGAGGGAGAGGAGGAGAAAGAACAGTAAAGGTAAAAGAATCCCAAAGAGTTAAACTGTAAAGTCTTTTGTAGTATTCATTTTGCAAATTTACATGAACAGATTATTACAAGGGGATCCATACTTCTTGATAAGGAGTTGAAGCCAGGTTGTCTTCAAAGTCTTATGAGTGACAAATGGGAGAGTTGTATTTTTCTCCCTGGTAGTGATTCCACAGCAAGGGGACAAAGCAAGGACAACCAGTTTTAAAACTAATAGGTGATGCTTTGAGATACACTGGCAGGTTGTGATGTTAGATTCTTTGGCAGAATGAAATCTTTAGTATCAAATTAGTATTAAATTTACAAAAGATCATCTGTCAAATTTACCTTTAGTCTTATAATTTGGTCTTCTTAGCTAGTCTTGAAATTCCAGATTCCAAAACTTGATTTTCCCAGGGTTAGTTTACATTTTATATTTCTTTTCACAGATACTAATTTTATTACTAAAAATTCTATTTGTTCTTCTTCAAATCTATCTGCTCTTTTTGGGTAATATTTTACTCTTGTTTAATGAATTCTTTGTCCTTTTTTACATTACTTTAAAAGTTCCTTTAAGACTGCTCTTTACTTCTAATTTCTTGAGAATAATTCCCTCCTTCCATTTGTCATCTGCTAACAACTTCTCAGGACAGTTGGTTCCTGTGTATGTGCTGTATTTGTGTGTGTGTGTGGTCATTTTAGCAAAAGCAGTTATGTGTGTGTGGGTGTGTGGGTGGGTGCGTGGTCATTTTAGCAAAAGCAGTTACGTTCCAAGGGAGTCCTGTGATCCCCCGGGTTGAGATGTATCTATGGGATACTTTTGTGGTTGCTTTTTCTGGGGAGATATTACTATAGAGTCCCAGGCTCTGGGTCAGTTCACACGTTTTTAGGCTTAGTGCTTCTGCACTAGGTTATGGGTAATGCATCTTACAATGCAGGCCCAGTATCTAATTTCCTAAAAACACCAACCAACTGGTAACTAAGCAGATGTTGACTACCTATCCCACTGATAATAGGAGAAGAGCAAAAATGACAGAAAAATCCCTGGTTCAAAACCAGAGAGAAAAAAGTCACGAGAATCCCAGGAAGTATAAGGAAAATGTTTGTTCCCTTGTCTGAAAGGGGTGGGGGGCATTTTTCTAATATGTAATCATGGAAAGGATGGCTTCTTTTTTTTTTAAAGTTAAAGATCTCCATTGTTTTACTGTGATTCTAGAATCTGGCAACATGAAGAGCAGCTTCTTCTAGGCTTTATGAGTGAGCCTAGCTCTAGTACCTATAGCCGGAGAATCTGAACCTTGACTCATTTCTGTATGGACACTCAGGCCTCTAAATCACACATTAGCCCAGTTTTCTGAGGGCCATACAATGTCAATTTCATTCTCTACTGTCAATGAACTTCCTTCTTGTTTTTGGCACCTAGAGAGTCCTATTTCTTGCTTTCAATTTTTGCTGTGTGTTCTAAAACTACCACACCACCATTAATACCACCTTTTTCTGGTTATTTAATCTGGTATTTCTATACATTAAGAACAATAAAGGAGCTTCCTGTATCGGCTCAGAAAACCACCTTAACTGGAAGATCTGCACACTAGAGTTAAATCTCCATTTTATAGTGTTCTAATACAATAGCTTTCAAACTTTTTTTGACCACCACCCACAGTCAGAAACAGATTTTACACTTTGACTCAAACATATGGTATACAGACATATTATTTTCACACACATATCCAAACTGAGACAGGTTTCACAAAACAATACCAACCTTTATAAAGGAATAGAACAATCCCAATAGTGCTATTTGATATTTTCCATAAAACCCAAATGCTTGCAACTTAAAATAAATCCCTGAAATAGTTTTCTCTGGCATACTTTCTTTTCGTTTTTCTTTTTTAATTTCTTGTTTATTTTATTTTCTCTGGCATACTTTAATAAGAACTTTAATTTCTTCTTTTCTACACCTCATGCCCTACTAGCCTTTCAACTACCTCCAGTCACTCAAATTCTGACTATATTTTATGAAAATCCTTTAAAGATAGGTCAATCCAGCACTAAAGCCAAGTTATATTACCATTTATGGTAT